GCAGGCGGGCAGGGAGCTGCACGTCCCTACAAGTGCCTGCGGGGCGGGCAGGTCTTCCAGAAGCCCAGCAGCCCGCCGAGCTCCGAGCAGACGCAAGGTGCCAAGCCGTACCCGTGCGAGGTGTGCGGGAAGGCCTACTCCCACCGGGGCACGCTCCAGCAGCACCGGCGCCTGCACACAGGTGAGCGGCCCTACCAGTGCCCCTTCTGCGACAAGGCCTACACCTGGTCCTCCGATCACCGCAAGCACATCCGCACCCACACCGGCGAGAAACCCTACCCGTGCCCGGACTGCGGAAAGGCCTTCGTGCGCTCCTCCGACCTGCGCAAACACCAGCGCAACATGCACAGTAACAACAAGCCCTTCCCGTGCGCCCAGTGCAGCCTGACCTTCAACAAGCCTCTGTCGCTGCTGCGCCACCAGCGCACGCACCTGGGCGAGAAGCCCTTCCGCTGCCCCGCCTGCAACCGGGAGTTCGCGGTGGCCAGCCGGATGATGGAGCACCAGCGCGTGCACTCGGGCGAGCGGCCCTTCCCCTGCCCCACCTGCGGCAAGTGCTTCACCAAGTCCTCCAACCTGATGGAGCACCAGACGCTGCACACCGGCCAGAGGCCCTTCAAGTGCGCCGACTGCGGCGTGGCCTTCGCGCAGCCCTCGCGCCTTGTGCGCCACCAGCGCATCCACACCGGCGAGAGGCCCTTTCCCTGCGCACAGTGTGGCCAGGCCTTTGCCCGTGCCTCCACCCTGAAGCGGCACCAGCAGGTCCACTCTGGGGAGAAGGGCTACCTCTGCGCCCAGTGCGGCAGGGCCTTCCGCATCGCCTCGGAGCTGGCCCAGCACATTCGGGTGCACAATGGGGAGAGGCCCTACCAGTGTGAGGACTGCGGCCAGGCCTTCACCCGGTCCAATCACCTCCAGCGGCACCGAGCCAAACATGGCGCCTGCAAGAAGGAGCCCATCCCCATCTCCTCTGACGAGTGATGGCTCCATTAGTAACTCTCAGGGAAGGCCTGGACTCTGTCAACCTCATTGCTTGGAACCCTCCTCCACGGACAAT